AAACATGTGATGGAGAAGTAGGAAAGATAGAAAAACAGAGCAGTGCATACACTAGGAAGAGAGGTGGAACTGTAAACTTGATGGTTATTATAGGTGAGATGGCTGAGATATGCTGTCATTGCTCAGTAGGGTCTGCAGGATGGTATACAACCTCCTGGAGCTTATGCAGATGCAGACTTAGTCCCTGAACCTGCACCCGGCCATGGGATCTCCCTGGCTCTGGGCAATGGCAGGGATCCCTGAGATAAAAAGTTTTACTTTCTGGATTTAACCTCCTCAAAGGACTACCATGTACCTAGATACCTACCACTGGAGGCTATGTGGTGTCTGTGATCCATGCTGCTGCCCCAGACCACAACAAAGCCTGAGATTCATGTGGATGCATACAGTCTGTGCAACTGCCTGATACCTCATTGATGTCCTCAGGCTTTGCTGCCTCGGGGAACCATACTGATGTAACCTACTGAGACAATGTTGGGGCTTGTGGTGTGTGCAAATTCTGAGGGCCATGAGTGGGTCAGTTATAACGTGCATTCTCCCTGCCAGCCTGGTCCCAGAGCCGCTTCAGTCCCAAATGACTCTATTAGTTACAATGCTATTGGCCAATGTCCAGGGCTTCTCATTGGCTAGTTCTGTCTTAAGTATTAACCCATGTCTACTAATATATATTCTAAAAGGTCTTATTTACTGAGGATGCAGCCTCATGCGTCTTTTCTTCCCGAGATCACATGGCAACTCCCTACTCATTTCCTAGAATCATCCTGGAGTCTTAGTCTCACCTATCTTGCTTCCCTATTGGCCAACATTGTTTTATTGATCAACCAATAGGACAGACATATTTACAGAATGACATCTCCCATCAGTCAGGGGTCCTGATATGTGTTAATGTCTACAGGCCATGTTACCAGCAAAGCATGAGACTCTTAATCTCACGGTGGTGGGTTCGTGCCCCACTTTGGGCACCAAAATGTAAATGAAGTTCTTAATTGGTCTAGATAATAAAGACTTGGAGTCAGATATAGAAGAAAATGCTGAGGGATCAGAGAGAAGAAGGAGAAAGCCAAAGCTACACCTTACCTCCAAAGTAATGATCTCAGCAGACAAGAGATCATTTATCTGTTTCTCTCTGCTTACATCCTATTTCGGCCCAGCTACCTCACTTCCTGTCAGTCTGTACAGACCTCTATGGTTAGCAAGTGGCAAGCTCTGTTCTGACCCCCGAGACAGGCTTTATTTGTACAAACATGACATCTCCACATAGCCTATTGAGGGAGATTTGGCCTACCCCTTGGTGGCAGCTACATAGCTCTCCTCAGCTCATGGCTTCTGGCACAAATGCAGGTGAAGAAAGACGCATCCTCCCTTGGGGACTAGCCACAAACACAAAATGGGCTTTTGTTTTGTCTTTTCAGGGGGTTCATGGAATGGGGGAAGGGGTAGACATGGGAAGACTGAGAGCTGAGTGCAATCTGGGAACGTGATGAGATATTCCCAAATAATCAAGTAAATAATATTTTTAAAGAGTAAGCATTTTTAAAAAACAGTCAAGATTAAACACTTTTAGTAGCCACTATCAGGAAATCAAAAAAGATTTTAACTGTAATGATAAAAGAAATATGCAGTATGTTGCTCTTGAATGAAATGTTCTGTAAATATCTGTTCGACTCATTTTTTCTATAGTATGGCTCAAGATATTTCTTCATTGATTTTGTCTAAATAATATATCCACTGAAGAAAGTAGGATACTGAAGTCCCCAATTATTATTGTATTCAAATCTCTCTTGCCTTTTACATCTAATATTTGTTTGGTCACATACCGAGGGCATATATCTTTATAATTGTTATTCTTTCTTGATGAGTTGATCTTTCAATAATTTATAATGACATTTGTTGCTTCTTTTTACATTTTGTTATTTTAAATTTGCTTTATCTCATATGAATCCTGTCATTCTCAACAACCTGGCATGAACTAGAGTTCACTATGCAAAGTGAAATAAGCCAGACAAAGAAAGGTTAAGACCACATATTACCTCTCATTTTCAGTAATTAATAAATCATTCTCAAGGTAAAACAGAATAGAATGGTTGTCTCTGTCCTTCTTTTATCCCCCTCTTTTTCTTGGTTTTTCTCTCCCCTCCCATGATGTTCCCAAGCTGCTCAGGAGATCCTGCCTCATTCCACTTCTCTGGGGTATCATGTATATCTCTTGGGAACCTCCCTGTCTCCAAGACTCACTGGCACTGGGATTGTAGGCTGACACTCCTGTGGTCCATGTCTAAAATCCATATATGGGTGAGTACATACCATGTTTGCCTTTTTGTGACTAGGTTACCTCACTCAGTATGGTTTCTTCTAGTGCCATCCGTTTGCCTGCAAATTTCTTTTTTTTTTAATATTTTTTTGTGTTTTGTTTTGTTTTGTTTTTTTGGTTTTTCAAGACAGGGTTTCTCTGTATTGTCTTAGAGGCTGTCCTGGAACTTACTCTGTGGACCAGCCCAGCCTCGATCTCACAGAGATCTGCCTGCCTCTGCCTCTCGAGTGCTGTCATTAAAGGTGTGTGCCACCACTGCTGAGTAGTACTCCATTGTGTAAATGTACCACATTTTCTCTATCCACTCTTCAGTTGTGGGGCATCTAGGTTTCTTCCAGGAAGGCATGGGGGGGCAGGAAGGCTGAGTCGATGTAAGAAGAGTGTAGGATGAGAGATACCAAAATAGATGGAGTCATTATAGGTTTGAGAACTGACACTAGTGAGATTTCCAGAGATCTACAAGTATAACACCAACTGGCAAACTAAACAATAGTGGAGAGACTACATTAATAGCCACTACCTGATGATAAGGTTGATGACTACCTTATATGCCATCCCAGAACCTTCATCCAGTGACTGATGGAAGCAGAGACAGATACCCACAGCTAAACACTGAACTGAACTCCTGGAATCCAGTGACAGAAATGGAGGAGGGATGAGCAAAGGGGTCAAGACCGTGATGGTGAAACCCACAAAGACAGCTGACTGGACAAGGGGAAGCTCTTGAACCCCAGACTGATGGCTGAGAGGCCAGCAGGGGACTGATCCAGACTCCATGAATGTAGTGTCAGTGAGGAGGCCTCAGATATCTCTGGGGCCTTGGGTAGTAGATCAGTGTTTACCATGGCGTACAAATGGACTTTAGGAGACCATTCCACATGGAGGGATGCTCTCTCAGCCTGGACACATGGGGAAGGGCCTAAGTCCAGCCTGGATGAAATGACAGACTCTGGAGATTCCCCCCAAGGAGGGCCTCACCCTCCCTGGGGAATGATGTGGGGATTGGGTGGGGCACTGGTGGAGGGACAAGGGAGGAGGGGTGGGAGAGGGAGCTGGGATTGACATGTGAAGCATGCATGCATGTTTTAAGACATAATTTATTTTAATAAAAAAAAGAACACTGGCTGCTCTTTCAGAGGATCTGGGTTCAATTCCCAGCAATCTACATGGGCAACTCACAACTGCATGTAATTCCAGTTCCAGGGGACCTGACACTTATGGCTAAAGCACCAATGCTTATAAAATAGAAAATAATAGATTAAAAAAGAGATTCCCTTAAAAAAGAATAGCTGTCTCTGAACAGAGACTTGGATTATGAAGTTTGGTGAATGATATTGTTCAATTCTGTGCAATAAAACACACGTAAACTGGAAAATGGAAATCTGATTCTTCTTTAACATACTCAAGTAACTACTGGTTGAAAAAAATCTATGATATATCTCTAAATCACTAGAAGAGTATGACATTTCTGACACTCAAAATAACTGTTGAAGGCGTGGAAATGCATATTACTCTATTTTGATTATTATACACTGTAAGCATATATTGAATTACAGTATTTTACCACATAATGGCATCTTAATAGTGAATTACAATTTTATACTATATAATAGTATGTTAATATACTATCTGAATCAAAATGTGCATCACTCTTTCAATTGGCTATGCCACCCAGTTGGAATCTGTCCTTTGGAGATTTCAATTAGGTCGTCATGGGACTAAAAGAACTCAAATCCCATCAGCTATTTTTCTTGAATAAATCAAATTACATTCAGTCCTCTCACCATGAGAAACAGTAAGGACATTCTTTCTTGGAATTGGGATATCCTGTAAGTATAATTTGTTCCTTTTTTCATTCTAAACAATTCCAAGTTAAAATCTCACCTTTTTATAATTTTCGATATAACTGTTTCACATTGCTTGACTATGACAGAGTGAATATAATCTTAGAAAATAAACTAAAGTCCTTGTGAACCTATAACATTTGTGATGCTGGTTTAGTCAATGGTCATAACTGATACTTGAGAGCCCAAGAACATAAGTGGTAAAAAGCACAGTGACTGTCCTATCTTTGAATACTCACAATACTCATTCAAAAATAAGGTATTCAAAACCTAGAGATATGGAAACAGAAGCAACATTACATTATAACAGGAACAAGAATAGACTTGACACAAATCAATTACTGAGCTGACTTCCTAGGTGTGGGCCACTGTCAGTAACTGCAATCTCAATCTGTGAGATCACTTTAGAGAGAGAAATCCTATGGGTAGTTGAATCTTGGTTTTATTTGAATGTAAGCAGATAACAACTTCCATTCTTTTCGAATTTTCCTAATGCTTCAAATCATATGTCAAAGTAGGATGTAGTAATATTATCACTATATCCTTTAAATTTATAGACTTCAGTAGCAATGTTGTTTTGTATTCTCTTTTATTTTATAATTCAATATGTTTCTGATTTCAGAAGCACTTAATTCTAGATACCCTTGTAGATTTTTTGTACCACTTAAGGAAACTTTTTTAACTGAAGACAATGATGTTATTATCATTCCTTGGTGCCTGTTCAAGGTACCATACTGAAAACTGACCTGCCATTGCAGAGGAAACTGAGAGCCCAGTGTTTTTTCTGATAGTTAGGGAAAGGTGCAAGAGACATGGCTTTGGTTGCATCATAAAAGACACTGATATTTTCTTGCAGCACAGGAATTTATTAATGAAGGGGATCGGGCCATTGGGTATTCATATGTTTGGCCCCTGCAGTTGCATCCTGGCTGTTAGTGAGAAAGAGGGCTGCTTGTAATTGCTGGCCACAGATGATGTCATTCTGGGAGTATGATAAGCCCTCTCCATTTTCTTCATGCCAGGACTGTGGACCAACATTATCAGATAGGTTTTTCTTCATTTTCTTCTGCATTTGTTGCAGACATGATATTCTTGAGGATCTCAGCATAGTATGGACTAAATACATGCTGATTGTGATGCATCAAATTAACAAACTTCCAGCCTAGTTCTGCCAACTCTGGTTCAATGAAAAGAAGTCCTCCAGGGAAGTCTAGAAGAGATTCCCGCATGCCACGAATCAAACAGCATTTAAGAAACAAATGTATCCGTTGTTCTGTCATAGGGAAAAAATGAAAAGTAGAAAGAAGAATTTTGAGAAGAAACTCACCATTAACTGTCTGCTCTCAAAAGTGTTTCACTTTTTTTTTCAGTGTGGTGGTTTGAATAAGAATGGTCCCCATAGACTCATACTTGAATGCTTAGTTGCCAGGAAATGGAAATGTTTGAAAGGATTATAGGGATTAAGAGGTGTGGTCTTGTTGGAGAAGTGTGTTACTAGGGGTAGGCTTTGAGGTTTCAAATGTCCATTCCAGGTCCAGTCTCTGTCTCTTTCTTGCAAATCAGTGCTGCATTCTAAGCTACTTCTCCAGCACCACTCCTGCCTGCTGCCATGCTCCCTGCCATGGTGATAATGGATTATGCCTCTGAAACTGTAAGCAAACTTCAATTCAGTGCTTTCTTTTAAAAGATTTCCCTTGGTTATGGTGTTGCTTCACAACAATAGAGCTGTGACTAAGACAGAAGTTGGTCCTGAGAAATGAGTTATTGCTATGACAGGCCTTATCATGCTGTTTGTTTGTGGTGTAGACTTGGATTTGGATTAAGAAAGCAGCTGAACCCAATGCCATGAGAGTGAGCCAGGCCCTGACAGTGCTTGGAGCACCAGCACCCAGAGGCTGGATGATCCAGAGACCTAGGATAGAACCAAACACAATAGGAGGAAAAAAGGCAATGTAATGAATGATGCCTAATGGTACTCTGCTATACCCATAGATTGGTGCCTAGCCTAACTGTCATCAGAGAGACTCTACCCAACAACTTATAGAAACATATGGAGATACCCAAAGGCAAACATTAGACAGACTTCGGGGAATTCTGCAGAAGAGGTGGAGGAAGGGTTGTAGGAGCAAGAGGGGTCAAGGACACCACAAGTAAACCCACAGAATCAACTAACCTTGGTTCATAGGGGCTACAGAGACTGAAATGACAACCAGGGAGCCAGCATAGGATAGGCCCTCTGCATATATGTTACAGTTGTATAGCTTGATCTTTTAGTGGGACTCCTAACAGTGGGAGCAGGGGCTGATTCTGACTCTTTTGCTGGCTTTTGGGACCCTTTTCCTCATGCTAGGTTGCCCTGTCCAGCCTTAATATGAGGGGAGGTGCTTATTCTTACTGCACCTTGATATACCATTGTTGATATCAATGGGAGGTCTGCAATTTTCTGAATTGAAGCAAAGAAGGAGTGAATGTGGGGCACAGAGAGGAGGAAGAGGAAGGACTGGGAGGAGAGGAGGGTGAAATCCAGTTACAATGTAAAAATAAACAAAAATAAAGCAGTTGAACATTTTAAGCAGGTCTTAATGGGTCATACTGGTAAGAGTGTGAAAGGCAAAAGTGCTGAGAGCAGTTTCGATTATGATGACCCAGCTCAAGAGGTTTCATATGGGAAAGAATATTAGTAAGTGGCGTAGAGATGGTTTTTGTGGTATTTTGGCCAAAAACATGGCTGCTTTTTGCCCTTGTCTTAGAAATCTTCCTGAAGCTAAAATGAAGAGTTTTAGATTAATGTCATTAGCAGAGGAGATTTCAAGACAGCCTAGTGTTGACTTTGTTGTGTGGTTATTAATGGTCACTTTCATGCAGATCTATGATGAAAAGGATTGAAATAAGCAAGAAAAAATACAAAATGTACAGTTTGGGGAGATAAGAAACATCAAGAAGTGTAACGGAGATAAGTGCAGTGCTGAGATAAAATATTTAAAGAAAAGCCGGATGCTAAATGAAATAAAGAGAGTGGCGGCCTCAGGGCAAGACTCCACCCAGCTAAGCTTCCAACTTGTGAAAACAAAGAGGAGAGCTTAAGTAGTGAAGGAACCATCAAAACCAGAAATATGATACACATGTAATTGCAGGAGGGGACCTTGTTCCAGTCCCAGCAAGCCACAGAACTTGGCAAGCTGACCCAGGTGGTTCCACCTTTAGAGTCAAGGATTCAAGAAAAGAGTTGTGGAATCTTCCTCTCCAGCTAAGGAAAGCCACTGAGGCCAAGTGTGTAGCAGGAAAACCCTTGAATGGTAATCTGGAGAGGCCACTGAGTGAAGCTGCGAAGGTGAAGCCTGGATTATATTAGAGATGCCAGAGTCTTGTGATATCTACCAAGGAAAGCTGCAGGCTGGATGTGGGACCAGATCAAGAGAGAGAAGCATGCTGTAGAGAGGAAAGTGTTCTCTGACATCAGATGTGGAGATGCAGAACTTGGAGTTTTCCAAGCTGGGTATTGGTCTTGCTTTGGTCCAGTATTTCCTCACTATGCTTCTTTCACCCAGTTTTGGAATATTTATGTATATCCTGTGCTATTATGTTAGAAGTATGTGATCTGCTTTTTGATTTTGAGTTACAAGAGTTTACAGCTAAGGGATTGCCACAAGTCTCAGAGAATGTGAACTCTGGACTTTTTAAACAGTGTTGAGAATGTGACAGGCTTTGGGGACTTTTGAAGTTGGACTGAATGATTTTTTTGGCATTATGATATGGCTACAAACCTGTCTGGGTCAGGGGATGGGATGTGGTGATGTGAATAAGATGGCCCCATAGACTCATACGCTTGAATGCTTAGTCACCGAGGAGCAGAACTCTTTGTTAGGATTAGAAGGAACTGGAAGTTTGGCCTTGTTGGAGAAGAGTTCAACTCTCACCTGGCATGTTATTTCTATTTCTTACCATATTAGGGACTCTTACCAATGATGGTACGAATGCAATTCTCTTCCTTGGCAATATTCCGGAGTTGGCCTACAAGAGATGCCCTGTTTTCACTGCTCAGAGCAGTGAGCCCTGTGTCCTTGAGCCCTTGATGGATTTCCTGAGATACCTGGTCACTGACACTGAGCATAGACTCTTCTGGCCTGGACAGTGAAGACAGAAAAAAAGTTTCCCTTGACATAAGGACCAATCCCAAAACGCCCCATGCTAGAAATTAGGCATACCGAAGAAGAATTGTGACCCTCTCACCATCAACAGACAACATGAATCAATGAACATGTAATTCTGTTATTATCATTAAGGTACCAAATTATTTATACATGTAGTACTATATGCCAACTTTAAATGGAACAATATATACTTGGTAAGGGCTTGGGCACATCCTGAACATTAAAATATTGTTGAAAGATTCTTAGAGATTTTATGTAGTATTCTTTCCTACTTTACCAAAAGTGCAAATAAACTAATAAAACTAAATTTCTAATTCCTCTTTCTGCTTTGACATGGAATCTCTGCATGCAGGGAATTAGCAATCAATATTAATGACTACATGATCAACTTCTGGGTATAAATAACAAAATTCCACTGCCCCTTGATGAAATATATAGTCTCACTGTTACAAAACATAAAAATTAATATTTGTAGCAAAGTAGCCACCTTATTCTCCTGCTGAATAGTATATTGTTATTCTTCTCTATGCCAAACCTAAAATAAAAACAATCTTTTGGGATCTGGTTCCCAAAGGGCCTTTGTGTGAAGAATAGTGGGATGTTATAATGCCTGTCTATGGCCTAAATGTCACTCTAAAAGAAATCTGAGAGAGCTAGGAATCTCATTTGGTAAAATGCTTGCACACAAGCATGAAAACCTGAGCTTGGTTCCACAGTAGCCACACAAAAAGTCAAATGTGATGGTGCATGACTGTAATCACAGCACTATGGAGGTTGCTCCCTGGAACTTGCTGCCCAGCCAGCCTAGCCTAATTAGTCGACTTCAAGTTAAAAAAAAGACCCTTGCAGTTGGCTTCTGGCCTTGACATGTGCACACACTTTCATGGATAAATGACTGTGAACATACATGTTCATGTTCACACACACACAAACACACACACACACACACACACACACACACAAAGGTTGATGAAACATACTTGGAGCTAAATTCTTCTGTTAGAGCCTTGGTTATGCACTTCAGTTTATCCACAAATTCTGGTGAGCTGAATAAAACACCACAAGAGAAACTTCTTGCCACAAGTAAAACTGAAGCTAGAATAGTCAAGTGGCGTAATTTGGATTTCATAATCTGCAGTCGTGCTTTATCCATCAGTAGAGTCTGGTTAGGCAGAAAACAATAGGCTTTTAGGAGAGTTGTATTCGAGCTTCGAAGTAACAGACAACAAGGTAATGCCTCAACAACATTCCTACCTCAGGGAATTCTTCATTCCCATAGTCCCTGAGGACAAGGTTTAGATAGCCTTGGTATAGCACTGTTGTTAGACTAGGTGGCTCTCTGTCAGTTTTTGAATATGGAAATGAACTTATTGTGCCAGAAGAGGAGCTTGGAGACACAGATGTACTCGGCAGTGGTGTAGTAATATCTGTGGCAGCTCTAGTCATCCATTTGGTGGTGCAATCAAGGAAATCTATGAAAGGCAAGAGAACATATCTGTTTAAACTGCAAGGTTTTAAGATAGCCTCTTGGTGAAGAAAACAGTAATTTTAAAAGCTGGAACGGAACAGGGTATTTCCTTCCAGAATGGCTTTCACAGTACAAGAAGGGGTTATGCAGGCCCCTGGTAGGAAACTCACCACAACCTGCGGATCCTGTTTACCACAATACCAACTTTCTAGGCAAGATCTGAAACCTAGTGCAATGCTAACATGACCAATATAGGGGTAACCAATAGCTTTCTGATACAATTGGAGACCCACTCCATGGGTGAGAGTTCATACCGGGCTTTGTGAGGCTGGCAAAGACCCATGTATAAGGAGTTCATAGTCCCCAGAGATGAGCCCATTGCTTCATTTTTCTAAATAAAAACGTTGTTAAATTACCTCTAAAAGCCGGGCAGTGGTGGTGCACGCCTTTAATCCCAGCACTCGGGAGGCAGAAGCAGGCGGATCTCTGTGAGTTCCAGGCCAGGCTGGACCGACAGCCTCCAAAACAATACAGAGAAACCCTGTCTCGTAAAAACCAAAAAAAAATTACCTCTAAATATTTATATCCATACCCATGTGTTGTTCTCAACCTTGATCAGAGATGCTTCTATTTGCAGCAAACAGCAATTAGTGCAAAGATTTGTGGCTACTCCAAATGCTAAGAATAAGTAACTACTTTTGTATACTCAGCTCTAAACAGAAAGTCTATCATACCTCTTCCAAGAATCAGGGAATACCATAGAAGAGAAAGCAGAAAGAGTACAGAAGTAGGATGATAGAGAGGATGGCAGTGAATTGTTATATTCTGGACATGGCACGCTTACGACAGTTGTGATCTCAAAGCAGATAAGATAGCTAGGCTGTCCTGAGTATGAATAAGACTGGGTCTGTTAAAACCAAGCCGTGGGGAGCAGAGGGGCTCATGGAGCTGTGCTGTTTTCTAGGAACTACCTGGAGGTGGCATTGGTGGAGGAGTCATTCAATGACGTACCACCAAGTAAGTTGTTCCTACTCCAGTGGATGGTTCCATAATCATGATGACGTGGGTAATCTCCAAACTCAGGTGGTCATAAAGCAAAAAGACAGCAAAGTAGGACAGGGGATTCTTTGAAAGGGGAATTGTGGAAGTTGGGGGCATAAGAAAGACTGAAGTTGGGAGTGATCAGATTGCACTGTGTACATGTATGATATTGTCAAAGGATAAACTAATTTTTTCAATATTGAATTAGGTTTATTATAATAACTAAGAAGAGAAAATGATCCATTGAAGGAGCTTTTTATATATGAAAGGTATTCTTTTATGGAAGACCTTTGAAATTCATAATTGAGTCACCCTATCCCCATTAATGATATATTCATCACACAAATCTTCAGGGTACATGTCTACAGTAGTGAGAAGTAATTAATAGTGATAACAGGTAATCAGTCCTTAGGGAATCTGGAAACCCAAGATTATCAATCACAGCTAAGTTTAATTTGTATGATGGAAATTAAGTATACTTACTTAGGTTTAAACATTTACCATTTTATTTTTAGTAACATAAAAGTTGTGAAAAGATTAAAAGATAAATATTACTAGGTGTTTATGCCTTGTATAGGCATAGATAGATAAACTTAATTTTTAAAAGTGATTTGTATAGGTTTTTCTGTCTTAGAAAAGTTTGCTTCTCTTCACTCTTGATCCAAGAAGTAAACTTTTTATTCAAAAGTAGAAAAATCACTGTAAAAAATATCAAAGGCCAATTTCCCCCTCTACTTAAATTTTAAACATACTGGGCTGCTTGTCAAGGAGTTCCTGGAATTTAGCTCGTTCATATTGAACAGAATGTTCTTGCAAGTATGGCCGAATGTTCTTGATGGTATAGTTCATCATGTCCATTTTCATCAGACCAAGAACATGGAAGATTCCCCTGTCACAGACAAAAACAGAAAATTTATAGTTTGAAAGGAAATCCAGTGTTGAGGATTGGAGCTCAAGGAAGAAATAATACAATCCTAGTACTTAGAACAAAAATGGGCCTGTAAAGTATTTACTTCAATTACAGCTAGTATTTGAACATGTACTACAAAAAATATTTAATAGCTTTGAGTGGGGACCTATTAAGAGGTGTTTATGTTATTAGGGCTAAGTGGATTAAATTATAAAAGACCATGCAGCTACGAATTTAATGTTGCTTTATTTGACCAGGTAATGTTTTCCATCATGTTAGAATGCATTAAGAATGTTCTCGCCAGGCTGGGCGGTGATGGTGCACACCTTTAATCCCAGCACTCGAGAGGCAGAAGCAGGGAGATCTCTGTGAGTTCTACCTGTCTGGTCTACAAGAACTAGTTCCAGGACAGGTGCCAAAGCCACAGAGAGACCCTGTCTCAAAACACAAACAAACAAACAAAAAAAGAGGTCCTCACCAGATTCAGTTACTCAGTATTAAATGCTACGTCCTCCAGAATTCTAAGAAATAAGTCTGTGCATTTTAGAAATGACTGAAATTTCAGTACTTTGCTACAGCAAAATAAAACAGACTAAGGGAGAAAAATAATACTGAAAATTAGGACTGTTAATCTACCAAATACCTGGAAATGTGGGAAATGGGCAAAATCTGAATGAGTTTGGAGAAACAGGCTATAAAAATGTTAATACAAATGGAGTATCGAGGATATTTCAGTTGAGAGAGAATATCTGCAATATGTCTAATATTCTTGGACAATCCTAAGGTATTCATGGTCAAAATGTTGGTAAAAAACATACTAAGGGTCACTATAATGAAGTTTCAAATGAAAATGAAGAGTCTTACTGGAAAACATAAAGGCTTATCTAATGGGAAAGTAGAGTAAAAGTCATCCTTGATATGAACCAGCAAATATCTTGAATTTATTGTGTCCATATTCAAAGCACTTTACCCAAGGCAAGTTGTAAGAGCAATGGCCTGACACAATTAGGGGGAAACGTTTCTCAGCATAATACTGAAGGAGTTACATGGCTACTTTTATCATGTTCAGAAATACATGAAAGAAAAATGATTTCAAGATGAGGTTCATAATTGAATCATGAGGAGAGCAGAATAACTTGGAAAATTAAAGCTTGACAATGTAAGTAGTAAAGAGGCACCAAGAACAAACCAAATATAACCAAGTGATTATTTTTCTAAAGAGATTAGTATAGATAGAAGGAAATAGTGTGCTGTTCATAAAGGCAATGGGAAATATCCCCAATGAATTTCAAAGATCTTTAAGACAAGTAACGACCTTTTAGTGTAAGATTATAGAGACACACCCATTTGCTTCCCAAAAAACCTAAAGATTCTACTCCCTGAATTTCTGGATTAGTTTCCCTCAACCAGCAACACTACAGTGCAAACAAGCTGAAATGTATCTTCGGCTGACTGTGATTCCGATCAAAAGTCTAGAGAAGACAATGGTAAGACTTAATAACACCCTTGTGGGACTAACTATATAAGCATAAGAATACATGAGCTATGAAGCAATAACAGTCTCTGCCTTGATTCTCTCTCTCTCTCTCTCTCTCTCTCTCCTCTCTCTCTCTCTCTCCATATATATATATATATATATATATACACATATATGTATATATACATTTATATATTATAAAACAGGCTAAGAAAAATAAATATGTCATTCAGGGACCAAAGGTCAGAGGGTGACTTGATAGAAGATCTAAAAACAGACATACAGTCTGACTTTTCAACAGCCAGTGTAGAGATTTTTGCACTGTAGCTATTCTGATACGTTCAGAAAAGGTTGATCAGCAGAAGGGTCAAAGCACTAAAAAGTATCTATGAGTGGTTGCAATGTGAGTGATTAATTTCCAACTCAAACGACTCATTTATTTTTCTTTTCTGGATCCTATTTCTTTCAGCTGTGAAACACTGAGAGTCTTCACTTCTGTTTCTGCATCAAGTTTAGACTTGGAGAACTAGAAGAACATTTGAGATTGAATGGGTGGAAATCTATAAAGCTAGTACTATACTTAAATGTCATAAGAATATCATGTTAAATTTTCAAGTAATGGATGGAATCCAAATGACCAATTTAAATGGCATGGAAATAAATCAGAGAGGCTGTCCTTGACAAGTAAAATGACAGGGAATTTAAAAAGATGTTAGCCAGTAGTGTGTCTCAGCTTGGGACATAGAAGATGCTTTCTACACTGCATAACAGTTAATGCAGAGACAAATGGCAGGTCAAAGTGCTAAGAATGAGTGACTGGCACCCAGACATGAAAAGGACATATATATCAACCTCTTCATGGTCCAGCAGACACCACAGGTGAGAGAGCAGAAAGACCGTTAGAGCTGAAGGATGAAGAGGAGTGCTAGGAAATGCTGACTTCTGGGTTTGGCGAGTCCATTGCAATCATGGACACACAGCAGTAGCAGTTGCCTTCACACACCCTGCATAAACTCAGACAAACATCAAAAGAGGAACAATGGGGAAGAAGGGGACCATCAGGACTGGAAGAGGGATGATAAAATATAATAAGCATAAAAGAGAAGCTGGAGAGATTGCTCAGCTGTTAAAGGCACTTGTTGCTCTTGCAGAGGCCTGGATTAATTCCTAGTAATAACATAGTGTGTCAAAAACATGCAAACTCCAGTTCCAGAGGATCTAACACCGTCTTCTGACCATCACAAGTACTAGGCATGAATATGGTGCACATTAACACATTTTAGCAGGAAAAATATTCATACACGTAAAGTAAAATAAATATTAATGAATAATGTTAAAATGAAAAAGTAAAAGTAGAATATAAAACAAGTAAAAATGGCGTTAGGATGGTTAGGATGTAAGGGCGATCTGGCTGCGACATCTGTCACCCCATTGATCGCCAGGGTTAATTCAGCTGATCTGGCTGGCTAGGTGGGTGTTCCCTTCCTTCCTCACTGCTCCATGTGTGTCCCTCCCAAAGCTGCACCGCTAGGTCAAAAAGGATGACCTTCCCCACATAGAGGAGGACCGGTCTTTGGTCAAAGGTATACAAGTAGCTGCTCTCGCCTGCTAGAACCTCCAAACAAGCTCTCAAAAAATGGCATTAATCGGGTCTTCAGCTCAGGAGTAGAACAAATAAGACAGAGGTCTATCATAACATCTGGCTCAAAGTGTTTTTTTTCATGGCACACAGGGTAGATTTTAGGAACAGTGCATGCTATGGTTTGAAAATAGCTTGCTTCTCCAAAATGAGGAAACTTTAAACCCAACTGTGAGATACTGAGAGGGTAGAAAACTAAATCCAACTATGGAGTTTATGGATGATGCCTTCAGACCATCACCGGGATTACACAAAAATGGCAGGCTATAGCTCACATGATTGAAAACATGTGACTTAACAAAAAGATAGGAAACCCAGGACACACACAGGCTTTTTTTCATCATGGGGTGCTCCATACCACCTTGAGACTCCATCAGCATCAAAGCTTTCACTGGATGCAGCACCTCAACCTTGAACTTGTAGGACGGGAGCCAAAATAAATGTTTCTTTTTATAATTTACTCACACTGTGATATCACGCTATTAACAAGAGAAAGCAGATTAAAACAGCATGACTAGATTCTTGCCTCAGTAACTCTACTGGATCTTTTATGCTCCCTAGTTCCTGTACAGCTTCATCTCTAACCGGTGCACACAGGAGGGCCATCAAGTTGAGAATATAGTTAGAGAGATGAGGAACATCCAGAGCCCCATGCTCTGTTTCTTGTTTTAGGAGATCCATGTCTAGTGCTTCCTCAATCTCGTTTCTTAAACGATTCTGACGTGGTAACAGCAGTGACACCAAAATCTGCCACAAAGGAAAATCAAAGGAGACGCATTATGCTTATTATCCTAAACTTACACCCAATGAGTAGTGCTTTCAGGCTAAAGGTATGTCAGACTTTGTCTTCTAGGAGTCAAGAAAGTGGGTCTCTAAATTTCATGGACAGTTATTTATCTCTTTTTGGAAGACAATTATAATTCTAGACTTCACAGAAATCATTTATACAGTACTGATTATTTTCAAGGCAGAATGGCATAAAAACATGAATTAAAAAGAAGAATGAGGCAACAGTTAAGTATAAGTTACTACAACATATGCACCTCTACAGAATGTGCATCCTTAACAAAAGTTAAGGACATTTTTATATTTTTGCTCCAAAGACAAGGGTGAACCAAGCAAGGTATTCTTAAACTGTCACTTGAAATAGTTTTTTGACTCAAAAGGTAAATTCCTTGTGGGCAAGAGCTCGTATTATTTTCTGTGCTTCTGAAACACTTAAAACGTAGTGAAAGTATGTTTTTATTGAATGCTGTATTATGTTATTAAAATAATATCCTAACATACAAATAAAATGGAACTCATTCCATCCCATGTGTGTCCATAAAATAAGCTACTTAGAACATTAATAATGTTAATAATCTTAATAATCCAAGGCCTAAAGTCCAGAAACTTTGTATCAACAGAGAAAGGGCTGGCTACTCACATGTTTTATGTTGTTTATAAGTTCAAGAGCACAAGAAAAGTCGGGAGGAGTACTTGACAGCTGATCTTTCAAGTGGTCCCAAAATGCATTGTACATCGACTCCACAAACTTGCTTTCCAGACTATCAAGAAAGTTAAATGTGCAAAATGATCTTTACCTAGAGACTTGATACAGGAGTATGATCCTTCAAACAGCATTTATAATCATGAAGAACCATTAAACTGATAGGTCAGGCATGAGCTACATTTAGATTTGAGAATTGCTAAATAAACTGCAGTTATTCTCAGATTAAAAAAAACAACCTTAAGTCATTGCAGAAAGACACCAGAGTGCACAATCAGACTGCCTCCTATCCCACACCCCACTCCTTGCCTGCTTCTCCCCTTTCCTCCCAGTATCTCCCTGTGTCTCTCTTGTCTCTTTCTAACTTCTAATTCTCCCTATCAACATATCTGTCTCTGACCCTTTCCTTCTCCCTCTCACTCTTCCTTCATCTGTCTGTCTGCTCCCCCCAACCCTGCTCTTCTCTCCTTTCCCTCCCCCTACCGCCTCCCTCAGAAGAACCATAATTTAATATTGGGTTCGAACTCTTTGACCCTAATCCTTAAAGTAGCCTAAATGTGTGATTTCATTTGTATTTTTTTTCAGATTTATTTATTATGTATACTGTGTTCTGCCTGTATGCATGCCTGGATATACTTACATTGTTTGCACACACGCACACACAATATATGTATAGAGTTAAAAGAATGTAGTAATACAGTTTTTTTGCCATAATGTTATTTTATAGCTTTTTAACTTGCTATCTTGAATGCCTCTTTTATTTTGCCACTTTAGAGATTCTGCTACAAAAGCACCATGCTCTATCTTGGTTCTTGTGATTCTCTTGTGTCTTGGATTTATTCTGCTTGTTGCTAATAGTGACATGCTAAGTACACCTTCCATGGAAGGAGTTTTCACCAAAACATGTGTATCCTTCTTCATTCAGTTCAGAGTCCCTAGAATCTGAGTTATATTTATCTTTCTTGATTTACTTTCTAGTACTTAACATAAATGCCATTGCCATTCATTCATTTAACAATCATTTATTGAGCACTTACTAGTTGGAGAGAGAGAGAGAGAGAGAGAGAGAGAGAGAGAGAGAGAGAGAGAGAGAGAGAGAGAGAGAGAGAGAGCACATGCCCATGTACACACATACAAAGTGTCACAGAATCTGTGTGGAGGTAAGAAGATAAACCGTACAAGTTGATTCCCTCCTTCCACCATGCCAGTCCCAGGGATCAGACAGCTTGTCAGGCTCAATGGGGAGCACCTTTACCTTAGTCATTTTCCTGGCCCACATTTCACTGCTAATGATCCATGGGCAGTCAACTCATACCTACTGGATGAATTTCCTTCTCCAGCCTCTATATGCGAACCCTCACAGGAGTACATAGAGTGTACACACATACACCAGTCACTCACATTTATGTATTTCAATACCAATGTAATTGTGAAGAACTCCAATAAGGCTCATATTTTCTTATTAAATCAGAAAATGCAAATACTCTGAAATGTCTTACTCATGGCAAATGGCAATATCATTACTAGAAAAGTTGTTTGTGGGGTTAGAGAGGTGGCTTAATGGTTAAGAGCACTGGCTGCTCATCTCCAAGGCCAGGGTTTGAGTCCCAGGAATCACATGGTGACTCACACTGTAACTGCAGCCCAAGGGTATCCGATGCCCTTTTCTAGTCTTCTTGGGCACTGTATACATGTGATACACAGAGATATATGGAGGCAAAACACTCATACACAGAAAATGAAATGAAAATTGAAAAAAAGAAAGTTGTTTGTCTGCATTCACTTAATTTTCAGGGAATTAAGAGAAGCTTCTAGCAGCTACAACTTTCAAGTCTATCTGCAAGGATCTGAAATTCTTTTCTAAAAACCAAGAGTTAACATTCTGACAATAATTACAGTGGTTTATTTGGTATTTAGATGTAATTTGATACTTTGACACTTTGTGTGTCTATGTGAGTGACTGGTGTATGTGTGTACACTCTATGTACTCCCGTGAGGGTATGCATATAGAGGCTGGAGAAGGAAGTTGAATGCCTTTTCCCATCACTCCACATCTTACTCCCTTGAGATAGGGCATCTTAATAAACCTGGAGCCAGGGTGGCAGCCAGCCAGGCCTGGAGATCCTTTTGTCTTGGCCCCACATATTGCTTGGGTTACAGAGCATGGGTATACAACACCATGCCAGACATTTTACATAGGTTTTGGGGATTTGAACAGATGTCCTTGTGTTTGTGAAGTAACTGGTTCTAGACACTTGTTCACCTCTTTATCCCCACCTGAACACTTTTTTTTATTTTCCTTCTTTTTTTTCAAGACAGGGTTTCCCTGTGTATCTGTGGCTGTCCTGGATCTCACTATTTAAGACAGACTTAATGAAGCACTACACGTTTTAAAAAATTAAACATGACCAAAAATCATCTACATTATGCAATTATTCCAAGACAAGTATGTAAATATGTACCTGTTTTCAGACAAATCGTTCTCCTTTACAGCAAAATCTTGGTTTACTATGATTTCATGAGCAATACTCAACTTGGAAGCTTCATTAACTGTCTCTATATCTTCAGTAGAAAGAACTACAGGCTGGCTCGCTGGAAGAAAAACATAGTAGTCATTAAAAGAGATCCCACACACATTTGCAATTAGAGGGCAAACTATGCACGTAGAAAAACCATACTAAGAAAGTGTGTAGTATAAAATTGTATTATTAAAATATGTTAAACTGATTCTTCTTCTCAGCGGGCATCAATCACTTTTTTGTTGTTTTTAGCAGACAGGATTTCTCTGTATTGTTTCGGAGGCTATCGGTCCAGCCCAGTCTCAAACTCACAGAGATCCGCCTGCCTCTGCCTCCCGAGTGCTGGGATTAAAGGTGTGCGCCACCACCGCCTGGCGCATCAATCACTTTGAGATGACAACTGATGTTGGCAGTGTACAGGTCTTGTTTAAGTGACTATATTATTCTGGTTTCATGAGAGCAACTCCCTGTTATATATAGAAAAGTGCCCCACATCAAATATTCTGGTCTTCTGGTCCCCATCTTCCATAATGTTCCTTAAGCCTTAGGTACAGAGGTTACATCCACTGATAGGTTATCTGATCCTAAATGGTCACCCCTAAATACATATACACATACATATGCATATGTGCAACACTAAATGGACTTGAAGATTGTATTTATAGATGTTCATACATACATATATACATGTACACAACTGTCTACAATTCCAAAGGATACAAGGCCTTACCCTAGCTACCACAAGCACCTGCACTCATATACACATACAAATGCATGCAAGTATACAAATTTAAAAATCTGTCAAAGTCAACATGGTCTCTGACAGCAACATGGCCCAGGGACATCAATATGATTTCATGAGGCTGCATAGCCTATGGACATCCAAACGGCCCTCAGTGGTAATATGGGTCATGGTCGTCAACATAGTGTCTGGCTACAGTAGAACCATAAACCCACATGGCTGCCCGGCACTGCCACCTGAGGCCTTGTTGATGTCCATGGGCTGGGCTGATGTTGGACACCATATTGGCGCCCTTTTTTCAGTGTTTCCCTGGGCAGTGGTGGCACATACCTTTAATCTCAGCACTCAGGAGGCAGAGGCAGGTGGATTTCTGTGAGTTCAAAGCTAACGTGGTCTAGAGAACGAGACCCAGGACAGCCAACACTACACAGAGAAACTCTGTATTGAAAAACCAAACTAGAGACAGCAGATCCATATCCCACCCCAACGGAATTCAGCTCACCCAGAGACTGCCAGCTTCCAAGTCCCAATCTCTACCCACAGGACAGGGGAGGTGAAGCAAGTCTAACTTCTGGTGGCCTGAGCAGAAACACCAGAGACCTGAGGACTACTCACAGCAGATCCGGATCCCAGCTGGATAGGATTCAGCCTATCCAGAGACTGCCAGCTTCCAAGTCCCATAGTCCACCCACAGGACAGGCGAGGCAAGGGTTCAGCCTACCCAGTTTGCTAAGGTCCCAATACTAGGATGGCCTCCATCCACGCAAGGGGAAAGCCACCAGGGTATTGGACCTGCTCCCACCAACTGGAAAGGAACCGTGGTCACAAACCCACCAGGGGAGGAAGAGACTCCTTCTGCACCCACAGGAAGAAATGATGGGAAGGAGACAATACAAAAACACACCCACCAGCAGAAAAATCAATATGACACCACCAGAAACTAGAGAATCTACACCCACAAGACTTGAACAGTCCATTGCAGAATAAGCAGATGAGAAAGACGTTAAAAACAACTTTATGAAAATGATAGAGGCTCTCAAAGAAGATAAGAGAAAATCGCTGAAAGACATGAAAGAAAAAGCAAACCAAAAAATACAAGAACTGCAAGAAATAGAAGAAAAAACAATCCAAAAAATGCAAAAGATGCAAGAAATACAAGAAAAGACAAACCAAAAACTTCAACAAATGCAAGAAAGAGAGGAAAAGACAAAGCAAAAATTACAACAAACATTTCAAACAGTGCAAGGGTTGAAAGCTGAAATAGAGACAATAAAAAACCAAAGTCTGAAGGAATGCTGGAAACAGAAAAGCTGGGAAAACCATCAGGTATTACAGATGCAAGCATACCCAACAGAATACACAAGAGATGGAAGACAGAATCTCAGGTGTTGAAGATACACTAGGGTAAATAGATTCATCGACCAAAGAAAATCTATTGTTCTAGCTAAAGCAATATGACAACAAAAGGAGATCGGGGGATGCAAATTGGAAAGGAAGAGGTCAAACTTTCACTATTTGCAGATGATATGATAGTTTACATATGTAACCCAAAAAAAACTCTACCAGGGAACTCCTGCAGATGATAAGTACTGCTTCCAGAACATAACTCCAGTAGCACAGACACTAAGATAGACAATTAAATGGGACCTCCTGAAACTGAGAAGCTTCTGTAAGGCAAAGGACACAGCCAACAAGATAAAAAGGCAACCCACAGTTTGGGAAAAGATGTTCCCTAACCCCATATCTGACAGAGGGCTGATCTCCAAAATTTACAAAGAACTCAAGAGGCAAGTCTCCAAAACACCAAAGAATCCAATCAAAAAATGGAATACAGAACTAAATATAGAATTCTCTGTAGAGGAGTCAAAAATGGCTGAGAGACACTTGAGAAAGTGCTCAACATCCCTAGCCATCCAGAAATGCAAATCAAAACAACTCTCAGATACCATCTCACTCCTGTAAGAATGGCTAAAATAAAAAACTCCAATGACAGTTTATGCTGGAAAGGATGTGGAGAAAGGGGAGCACTGCTACACTGCTGGTGGGAGTGCCAACTTGTGCAGCCACTTTGGAAATCGGTGTGGAGATTCCTCAGGAAAATAGGAATCAGTCTACCACAGGACCCAGAGATTCCACTCTTGGGCATGTACCCAAAAGATGCCCATTCATACAACAAAGATGTCTGTTCCACTACATTCATAGCAGCATTATTTGTAATAGCCAGAACCTGGAAGCAACCTAGATTCCCCTCAACTGAAGAGTGGATAGAGAAAATGTGATGCATTTACACAATGGAGTACTATTCAGCAGAAAAAACACAATGGAATCTTGAAATTTGCAGGCAGGTGGATGGCACTGGAGGAGACCAACATGAGTGAGGTAACCCAGTCACGGAGGAAGAAACAAGGTATGCACTCACTCATTTATGTATTTTAGACATGAATCAGGGGGGGTGCCATCATACAATTCCACTGCCAGAGAGTCTAGGAAACAGAACCTTCATCCAGCAACTGATGAAAGCAGAGGCAGATACCCACAGACAAGCACTGAACTGAACTCCTGGAATCCAGTGTCAGAAAGAGAACTGATGGGCAAAGGAGTTAAGACTGGGGTGGTTTAACCCACAGAAACAGCTGAACTGAACAATGGGGAGCTCTTGAACCCAGTCACGGTGTGCTGTTTTGGACAACCAAGTGACCAGGAGCCTGCAGAGAGAGCCAGTCTACTCCTGCCCACACTCAGGGCAGAGAGCAGAAGACAGAGAGTAGAGGCCAGAGAGTATTGGATTTGCTTGCACCGACCAAAAAGGGAACCCTGGTCGCTTACCCACCAGGAGAGGAAGAGACTCTTTCTACAACCACTGGAAGAAGAAATGGGAAAGAACACACTCAGCAACAGAAAAAATATGACATCACCAGAATCTAGAGATTCTACAGCACCAAGACCTGAACACCCCAAAGTAGATGAAGCAGAAGGGAATGACCTTAAAAACACCTTCATGAAAATGATAGAGGCCCTCAGAGGCGATGTGAGAAAATCTCTTAAAGAAATGAAAGAAAAAACAAACCAAAAAATCCAACAAAGAAATGGAGGAAAACATGAAGCAAAAATTACAGGAAACAATTCAAACAATGCAAGGGTTGAAAGCTGACGTGGAGACAATAAAAAAACACAGTCTGAAGGAATGCTGGAAATAGAAAAACTGGAGGAATGGTCAGGTACTACACATGCAAGCATAACCAACAGAATACAAGAGATGGAAGAGAGAACCTCAGGTGTTGAAGACACAGTAGGAGAAACAGATTCATCAACCAAAGAAAATATTAAGTTCAACAAATCCCTAACACAAAATATCCAGGAAATACGGGACACCATGAGAAGACCAAACCTAAGAATAATAGGTATAGAAGAAGGTGAGTAAACTCAACTCAAAGGGGCAGGAAACATACTCAACAAAATCATAGAAGAAAACTTTCCCAACCTAAAGAAAGACATGCCAATGAAGGTACAAGAAGCTTACAGAACACCAAATAGAGTGGACCACAAAAAGTCCCCTCATCACATAATAATCCAAACCCCAAGCATACAGAATAAAGAATACTTAGAACAGCTAAGGAAAAAGGCAAACCTATCAGAATTACACCTGGCTTCTCCATGGAAACTCTGAAAACCAGAAGGTCCTGGATAGATATTCTATCAACATTAAGAGACCACAGATGCCAGCCCAGACTATATACCCAGCAAAGCTTTCAATCAATATAGATGGAGAAAACAAGATGTTCCAAGACAAAACCAGATTTATACAATACATATCCACTAACCCAGACCTACAGAAATTTCTGGAAGGAAAAATCCAATCCAAGGAAGTTAACTACAACCAGAAAAGCATAGGCAATAGATAATACAAATTTACCAACATCCAAAAGAGAAAAGGGGTGGAAATCAACATACAATTCCACCAAGAACAACCATTCCAAAACAAACAAGAACAAGCAATCAATGGTCATTAATATCCCTCAATATTAATGGTCTTAACTCACACATAAAAAAGGCACAGACTAACAGAATACATTCGAAGGCAGAATCCATCCTTCTGCTGCATACAAGAAACACACCTCAGCTTCAAAGACGGATGTTACCTCAGAGTTAAGGGTTGGGAAAAGATTTTCCAATCAAATGGACCCAAGAAACAATCAGGGGTAGCAATCCTAATATCTAACAAACTAGACTTTAAAGTAAAGTCACGCCGGGCGGTGGTGGCGCACGCCTTTAATCCCAGCACTCAGGAGGCAGAGGCAGACGGATCTCTGTGAGTTCGAGGCCAGGCTGGA